CAGGCAGAGGGAGAAGCAGGCTCCTGTGGGGAGCCCAATGTGGGACTTGATCCTGGGTTTCCAGGATCATGCCCTGGGCCTAAGGTGGCGCTAAACCGCCGAGCCACCCAGACTGCCCCCTCATACCTTCTTTTACTGAAAACACACATTCTACTTCTGTTTCATTTGGAGATATTTTCCTTCTTTCTAGTGGCTTTAATTGAATCTATTAGAATTTTTAACCCTCAAGAACCTTAATTGTTAGTGAAAATAAAGAAATATTATGAACCGTCTTTTATAATAGCTTTCTGTGGCTTGGCAAATCTAAAACTACTTTTTATAATTCCTAGAAATATATGTTTTTCAATAATAATTTTTCAGCATAGCAAAAAACACATGTTTACTAATAGACCCAAATATCTTTAGTTCCTCTGTAAAAGGAAACAAAAAGTAGATAGGCCTGTGTTCAATAATTGATGTTTCAGCATTTTATCTTATTTGGAAGTGATCTGGCTACATAATGAATTTAACTTAACTCACCATTTAACTTAATTTAGCAAAACTTTAAGGTTTTAGATTACAAAAAAAAAAAAACTGGGGGAAAGTATTTGAAAGTTCGCTAAAAATGACTTCTATTTCACTTAACATCTTTTTCTTAACAATTATATTTAGACTACCCACAAAAACTTAATGAGACGTTAGACAAAATCAGCCACATGCCAAGCTATTGTTCTTGCTGACAAATTCCGTAAGAGATAAAATGAACTTACTTGATTAGTAAACCCAGGTAGAATATAAGTTGTGTGTCTGTATTGTGTTTTATGCTGGTAACTCAGAAGACATGCCTATTTTAATGAAACCAAACCCCAAGCTAGTTTTTATTTGTCAAAGGTTAACCTGGATCAGTGAAACTGAAAAGTAGTTGGGTTTGTTTCTGTTGTATTTTTGAGAATTTTTATGAATACTAATTTATATAAGCACTTGATTTTCTTTAAGACACTTAAATAGAGGTCTTTCACAAATTAATTTTGGTATTGCCATCTAGAGGTAGAAAATATCACACTCATCTATAACACACATATATATAAACACACATAAACAGACAGACAGATGCAAACAGAGACCTTATAGTTTCACAACACAGGATTTCCCATTAGCCCAAGCTCCAATGATTTCCCCCTTTTGTTTCTCTTTTGATAAGAACTACTTCTCTGAAGTGTGTACTTTAACATTTACATCCCAAAGCACCAGAAAGAATGCAGGTTACAAGAATTTTAAGATAAATGGGGAAAGTTTGGGGATTGGTAAAGAAGAATATGTGGAATTTAAGTTGCCCCTAGAGTTGCATTTGTAGTTTTGCAGAGATTTTTAAGATAAAGATAGTTGCTCTCAATTCCTCAAGGGATGGTGTTGCACCTTCAATGACCTGATAGGTTGATCCACTCATAAATCATTTTACAAGGGCTTTGGGAGGTTTTTCTTCTATCCTGGATACATAGTTTTATTTTGTAAAAGTAAAACTTAGGGGAGAAGGCTTAAACGTTTTTTTTCTATCAGGTTCTGTGGTTGGCTAGTTTTTCACAACAGAACTACTTTAGTTTTTAGTTGAGACAAACAGTAAATATTTTTGGCAGTATTGGATAACCCCTTGGACTCAAGACACATCCCCAAAGAAGGATACAAGAGAGATTTTACTTCCCTCTTTCTTACGGGGCACTATAGCAGAGATCCAGGAAAGCTGAGGCTGGTAAGAATTGTCACCTTTAACCAGCTTCTGCCAGTTTTCCCAGGATTCCATCCACAGGCTCTTGAGCGATGTTTAAAGGAGGTATAGCTCCAGTATCCAGAATTTGGCAAGGTTTTTCATTAATTTTTATTTTCCCTTGGCTGATTAAGAGAATAACATAGCAGTTTCCCAGAAAATTCCTCAGAGTCTCATCAACTCTGGGAGAGGCCCATATGGACTCCTTTGAGGGCAGATATGAGTTCATTTGAGTTGATGTTGAAAAATTTGCACAGGCCCTTTGAGAACAATCTCTTTCCCAGTGTCCTGGCTGATTACAACTGAAACATCAATCCCTCACCATTGTTTTCATGACGGATTCCCTAGGAGAATGCATTGCAGGTATTTTATGTGGCTGGCCTTGGAACTGTTGTAACTATAAAGCTAATGGTTTGGCAAGATTTTGTTTACAGTCCTGTGTCTTTAGATTTTCATTAGCTTTCTGCAGTGAACTTTTTAATGAAGCCGTTACGGAATCTTTTTTTTTTTTTTTTTTTTTTTTTTGCTGTTACGGAATCTTAAAGACACTTTTGGAACCTTCTACACACCAATGAAAATAGGTATCCCGTTCCGTTTATTTGATATGGGAACCCTTAATTTCAAATACCCTTCTGAAATCAATTTTGTCTAATTGGAATGTTTCCCATAATGGCCATTATAATTCTAAATTGGCTTTTGTAAGATTTTGTTATTTTTGTAGATATTTACAGCCTTTAGGACTGCAGTTCTTAGACATAAAATAAGGAAGTGTGCCAGAAGATGGCACGCTTAACTGGTGTTTGAAGATCTCGTTTTTATTACTACTACTACTACTACTACTACTACTGCTACTGCTACTACTACTATTACTACTATTATTATTTTAGCTGGGCCTTTGGGTCTGAGCCAAATTAATACCTAAAAGATGTATGTCATGGGGTTTGGAATGGTGTGCTGTTTTACAGTATACCTTATTGCATGGAAATTTTCTTGAACCTAATGGGTAACCTAGTGTCCATCTAACTTGTTCCATGACCAACTTATCCTAATGTGGGAATTTTTTAATTAGGTGGTGAGGGCTTTATCATCTTTTAAGTGCTTGACCTATGCTCACCAATTTTGTGGTTTTTTGACTTCAAGATTCTTATTAGCAATTAGCCTTTGTCTACACAAAACAAGACAAACATTAACATGTGCATCTTAACACACCAGCAGTAACCAAGGGATTTTAGTGCACAGTGCCCAAGAGATGGCTGTGCACACCACCAGCAGTTCACACTATGGATTAAATCAGCAACTCCAGTAAGTGGGGACTCTGGACTGGAACTGGGGGAAGTGATTACAAACGACTGGTAAATTGCCAACTGAACTGTTAGAGGTGGAAAGTCTGCATTGTGTGAATGGGGGTCTTGGTCCTTGGATTTTGCATGAGAAGATTTCCATGGGGGATCCACTCTAATAAAGCCAGCCAGAAGGAAAGTAGCAAGCACAAAACCGTTTATAAAGCAAAAGTACACTCTCTAGGTGGGAGAGTGGGCAGATGCCTTGAGGTGGAACCAGCCCTAAGGTTGTTTGAGGATTGGATATTTGTTGTGCCTCTCTGGGCTGGGAGGAGCTGTGCCATTCAGTCTTGCTGGTCTCTGATGGAGGTTGTTTCTGGTCATTTGAGGGACTCCTCCCACAGGTTGGGAGGGGGAATTTTTGACCGTACAAGGTATGGCAGCCTGTCTCCATTGAAGGGGCTGTACCCACAGTGCAAATGCATTACAATGAGCCTACGGGTTATTCTAGGGCAGAAGTAGAAGAGAATAGTGCATACTCTGCACCTGTGGCTCTTGATCTGTCAGCCCCAAGGCCTTAGAAGCCACAAGGTCAGGATGTTGTGTTCCCAGGCTTTTAATATATAGCTTATTTATCACCATTCTTGCCTCCAGCACATGTCTCTCTCATTCCCTCTTTATGGACTTGGAACCATACCTCAGGGTATTCCTTCCACTGTTCAGGTCTAGCTTCTGCCTAACAGAATCAAGGGCAAGGAGTTGGATTCTGGATGGAACTGTCTGCCAGCTCAGACTGACCTAATAAGCCCTGGATTGGAAAGCCAATTAGATTGGGAGCTCAAAGCAAAGAGAGCAGAACTCTGAACATAGGAGAACTCACCCATGGCCCTCAGAAGAGTTGAGAAAAAACAGTGAATTCAAAAGGGTTTGTGGGGTATCATTCCTGTTTCTCTTTGTCCCTGAATGCTGTCAGAAGTTCACTTCAGATCCCACCACTGCCACCAAATCTGATAAAAACCAAAAATTCCGCTGAGTAAATTTAAAGATCAAATTGGCTTTATCAGTGATTCATGAATTAAGCAGCATCCCACCCAGCAAATAGTAAAGAATTCTCCTGAGCTACAGAAAAGGAAAGAATTTTAAGAGTGTAAAGGGACAGAAAAGGAAATTATTAGCAAAGACTATGTATGCATTGTTTCAGGCAAGGTCACCCTCCTAATGTGAGGAACAGGAGGGATCTGTTGGACAGATTATTTCATGGTGCAATTCAGGTTAATTCCAGATTGTCTGGTTAAAACCTACATTCCTGGGAGAAGTTGAAGTTTCAGTTAGGTATTAAGTCTTGGTTTGCTTACATGAGGCTTAACACAAATGACTCCATTTTGGTTTTTTAATAGACCTTTTTGCAACAGAACCAGCTATGAAGAGAGGCAAGAAGGGGATGATGGTAATTAACAGGGTGCTGAGCTAATCGTTCATGTTCAGAAGAAACATTTTCCATAAGCCCTTTGTAAGTCACATTAGAGCAGAATTGGTTTTAAAAAACCTAAAATTACTCTATGATAGAGACTAATAAACGGGTCTCTTTTATTTTAAACTGTACAGGTTAGTTTTTATGTTAGTTTCCATGCTCTAAAAGCCCCCGTAATAATATTTTTGAGGAGTTTTGAATTTTCCAGGTAATGTTAGGATATTAAGAATACTTTGAAGATAGAAAATATTTTGGCATTCTTAATTATATGTGTGTTGAAACATGTATACATTCTATGCTATGTCTTTGTGTACAAGCCATTGCTTAGTAAATGATCTTTTTGGTTATATTCTTTTGGAAATGGTGGTGTTTTATACAATCATTGGTAATTTGGTTATAAAAATGAGCTATTCCTAACAAATCAGTTGTATTTTTTTTTTCATTTATAGAGTTAGAGTAAAATATAACTAACTTGAAAGTTACTAAATCACGTATTTGACTTTTCCTGAATTAATCTCTATTTCAGATAGTCCATTCCATTCTCTACATAAGCAACAAAAACTTCGTTTATTCATTAAACAAAAATTAGGTAAGTACTTACCTCATGCCAGGTACATTTTCAGGCACTGAGGATACAGCAATGAGTAAAATGAATATGATCCCATTCCTCACTTTAATAGAAGAGGCAACTGTCTCTATACAGCAAAAAAATAGGTACCTAATAGAACATCATGTATATATGCATGGATAGATATGAATTGAACTGTAAACACCATAAAGAAAAATGTAGCAGAGTAAGAGGATTTAAAGTGTTAGGAACAGAAATGTCAGATCATTTTTTTGTCAGACCATGCATCTTTAGTTTTTACTTTAGAAAATTTTGTCGGCAGCACCTTTTTGCAGCAGGGCTGGTGAAACCCTGAAGGGAGAGGTGAGTTCACTCGGGCTCTGGAGACCACTTGCAAGAATGGCCATTTGGGTGACAACCTCACTTTTAGTTCCAAGAGCTGAAGAAGTTGGAAGTCTCAAGTGTTGTGTGGCCTCGTGCAGATTTCCGTCCCATTCTTTTTTGGCACCACAATCTTAGAAAAATGATAATAAAAGGATAAGAGTAGCAGCTTCAAAGGAGAGTGGGCAAGATACTACATTTTGAGGGTAGAAAGTTTCAGTTATGCAAGATGAATAACAAATCTGCATAAGATTGTGCTTACAGGTTAGGAATACTGGAGTATACCCTTTAAAATTGTTAGGAGGATAGAGTGCATATTAAGAGTTCTTTTAACACAATAAAATACAAAATAAAGTAAAATAAAAATTAGACAAGGTAAGGATTTAAATTTGAATGTAGTGGATAGTTACCAACATGATATAGATAAAAGAGTGTTGGGAAGACTTTTACACACTCAAATATCATCAGAATGCCTCAAATTTCACCATTATTTTCATTTCTTTGATACTTAAATCATTTTATTAATCTTCAGGAGACTTCTCTTAAAAGGGTTTTCCAAAGTGAGTGTTTGCTAAAAAGTATTTTGGATATGGGATATAGGGAGGGAGGGATGACATGAAGATTAGGTACCAACCAAATAAGGGAGGAAAGAACATGATAAATTACATGGAAAGGTCATTATTTTCAATATGGTTCCCTGGATGAAATATGAGCCCCAGTTCCTCTTTCTGCGCTTTCCCTGGAATAGTGGCAGGAGGAACTGACCCACTGTGGAATGCTCAGTCAGCAAGGTTTTATGATTTCATTGCAACAGGGGAGAAAAGATACTGTGATTCTGTTTTTCTATAAAACAAAAGGAGTAGAACAGATGATTTCTAAACTTCCTTCCAGATTTAATAGTTCCTAGGACTGTGATCTTAAATAATTGTAAGAAAATACTTTGCGTTTCAATGGAAGGATTGAGCATTTCTTTACAGTATGTGTAAGAACGCTCAGGATACTGTATAGGATTTTCCTAAGTACCTGGGTTAGGCTACATTTCAAATTTAATTTACTTTACTAAGAAAGAATACAGCGCCCTTCATTCCCTAGAGTGAACGCATGATTAAAGAGAAAAGAAAGGGTCACAGGCAGGTGAAACTCTTCCTCTGGTTAGTGAGGGGAATGCTAATAGGTGCCTGACACATCTGAGATTTTTTTTAAAGTATTGTTTGTTTAGGTTAGAGTTTAAAAAGTTGAAGAATAAAACTGAAAGTATTGGGTTTAAATTGTGGGTTTTGTTGGGGGAGTTATGTTAAAGTTTACAAAGTTGAAGAGTAAAAGTGTCTTGAATTTGTTTCATGTATACACTAACATGAGGTAAATTAGTATTTATTTCCTATATCACAGTGTGTATGTGGTGCTTTTACTGAATTTTACTTAAGTAGGCAACAGATAAAGGCTGAACCAATTAAATAAACACAAAAACAAATGGGGTCGGGGGGGGGGACTAGGAACCCAAATCCTGGATGGACTAGACTCCTCTTGTTTACTCTGCGTTAGTCTGCATACTAAACGTTCATCTCTTTTCTTTTTCCATTTTTGCTTTGAAGCTCAGCACAAATGTAACTGGTGACGGGCAATTCACCAGACTAGTTAAAATTCCTCTGGTTGTGGCAGTTTGTTAAGCTGTAGTGTTATTATTGTAACTGGCTAATTATGTAATGTCAACAATTCAATGAGGTGGAGGATCAGTATTTATACAAGCAGGACTTGGAACACGAGCCTTTGGCCTCTCTGGTTTTGGCACATTTTTCTCATCTACAGGTTTTCAGTTTAACTCCTTTTTTTTTTTTTCCTTTCCCACACTACTTTATTCTTCATGGATAATCCCTTCCCAAATCAAGACACATTAAGTTGGAAATGGGAAAGGAAATAATCAGTTAAGGCTTAGGTCTCATTTTGCTGCATTTGCTTCTTTTGCCTTTGGTGTTATGCAGATGGTCTGGTGTTGGTTGTTCAGCACTAGAACTACAAGTTTTCTTTTTAATTCTGCTTGCCCCTCCATGTATTGGATGTGGCAAAGATTTTTGCAGCTTTCCTTTGCATTAAATTTAAGGTATTTTATATATTCACACCTTCCTGTAAGAAGCTTATTGAGGAATGGAAATCTAAGGGATTTGCATTCACTCTATAATCTACCATGATTACCAAGGCTGCTGGTATGACTTAGTGGGTGGAATATGTCTTAGGAAAAAAATACATAATTCTGACAAGATGCTTTTTGAAAAATCCCAACCAGCTGTTTCAAGTAGAACACTGTAAAATTTATTCAAAGTCAATTTTATTTCACTTGGAAGCAAATGTAGTTCAAAGAATGAGCTAAAGTAAACAGTGAAATTTAACTTATCCAAAGTTGGAGCAGTGTTGTCTTTGTATAGGGCTTTCAGCAGCTTTCTTTTCCATTGTCAAGCTGTGTACCATTTTACTCAACTTATCCTTGTCTAACCTGCAGAGTGTGGGGAGTTCCTCAAAGCAGATGTGAGGTCTGTCCCAGGTGGCCTCAGATGTTGGACTGGCCAAGGGATGAGAATGTTGAATATGGAGTCACATGGTGAATTAGTTTATCTTGGCTGTAACAAATTAACATAAATTTAATGACCTAAAGCAACACAACCTTATTATCTTATAGTTTTATAGGTCAAAAGTCTAACACAGGTCTCACTGGGCTGAGATCAGGGCACAGGCAAGGTGGTTTTGTTTTTTGGATGCTCTAGGGGGAGAATCTGTTTCCTTGCCTTTTCCACTGTCTAGAGGCTACACAACGTTCCTTGGCTTGTGGGCTTCCTCCATCTTCATAGCCAGCAGTGATTCATCTCTGCATCAATATTCATAGCCAGCAGTGTTCTTCCATAGTCACATCCGCCTCTGCCTCTGCCTCTGCCTCTGAACTCAGCCGGAAATGTTTTCTGATTTTGAAGACTTTATGACTATGTTTAGCCCAGCTAGATAACCGGGGATAACTTGCCCATCTCAAGGTTCTTAACTTCATCACATTTACAGAGTTTCTAGCTGTGTGGCTTTGGGCATTCAGCTCACCTTTCTGTCCTGATGTGTGGGAGTTGGCTAAATAATTTTTAAGATCCCTTTTAGCCCCGACATCCTTTGAGTTGATGCCTCAAAATAAGGTTAGGTTCATAATTTCTAATTGCGATTTTTTTTTTAAACTCTCAAAGATGTCATCTGTGAGAATCAAGGCCTTAGCACCTCTTTATCAGCCTTGTAAGTGAATATTTGTATGTGTGTTCACATTATACATGCATATATGTGATGTTTTCCATTCCATATATACAGGGAACTGTATATATGAACTACATATATAGGATCTTTTCTCTTTTAACCTCTTAACTCCATTAAATTTGTTTACATATATGTAAGCAACTTTAAGGTATAGAGATATTTTAGGGGCACCTGTGTAGCTCAGTTGGTTAAGCATCCAACTCTTGATCTCAGAATTGTTCAAGTCCCGCTTTGAGCTCCATGTTAGACATGGAGCCTACTTTAAAAAAAGAGAGAGAGAGAGAGATTGATTTTAAAACATTTGAGTATTTTTTAAATGGTAGATAATACCATTTACACGTGGTTAAGATGTATCTCATTGTAAAATTAATAACATGAGGGACACCTGGGTGGCTCAGCGGTTGAGTGACTGCCTTCAGCCCAGGGCATGATCCCAGAATCCCTGGATCAAGTCCCACATCGGGCTCCCTGCATGGAGCCTGCTTCTCTCTCTCTGCCTGTATTTCTGCCGCCCCCCCCCCACGTGTCTCTCATGATTAAATAAATAAAATTTAAAAAAAAATTAACATGAAAGATAGCTTTTACTAGACTAATCTTTTTAGTGATATAGACATATACAATGGATTATCAATGGATTATGAATATTCTTTCATGGGGCAGCCTGAGTGGCTCAGCAGTTTAGTACCGCCTTCAGCCCAGGGTGTAATCCTGGAGACCCGGGATCGAGTCCCACGTCGGGCTCCAGGGAGCCTGCTTCTCCCTCTGTCTGTGTCTCTGCCTCTGCGTGTGTGTGTGTGTCTCATGAATAAATAAATAAAATCTTTAAAAAATATATTCTTTCTTGTTTATTTAATAAACTTTCATTGCCTTTACAGATTATGTGTTCATTCGAATCAGTGTGGGGATCTTTTGATGCTTAATTTTGTAACTTCTCTGTGTATTCTGTTCTTGTAAGTGTTGTCCTTTATTTAGTTGATGTCTTATTAATTAAAGGATGAAGAATGCCTCCTTTGGTACAAGTGGGTATTTATAAAGTAAAGATCTCTAGAGTACAAGCTGAGGAAGTCTTTAGGAAAAGATCTATCTTTTCTGAACGTATTTAAAATTGGAAGACAAAGAGATAAGCAAGACCCTATTTGTGAGTACACTTGCATCTACCTTGTGTTCGGAGTTAACAAAGGATGGCATAACATCCCTTACTTGTTTTATAATAGTTGAGTGCTGGACTTTGAGATGGCTTATCATTCTTTCAAATATAACTAGCTAACACTGCTTTGAGGAGTTGTAGACATTACCATTCAGTGTTCTGTGCTGTATTTAGATACAAAATATCTAAATGTTTCATTTTCCTTCAAAAAGGAAACACGTTGAAAATTAGTGCTGAGAGGAAAAAGGGGTCTCTGAACCCCCACCCAAATTGACTATTCTCTGGGCAGCAAAGGGACAGCAGGTTAGCCAGCCTTCACATGAATACTTGTTAATGACTGAGAAGGAACTCATTATTAGAAAAAATGTTTCTTTGCATTGAAAATGAGCATGGCCGGTTTTAACTTCCCTCTGTTGTTGTAGTTTTAGACCCTAGAATTATAATACTGCTCCATATGTCAACCCTTTGAGTGTTTAAAGATTACACTCTGGAATAAAACCCCACCACTTACTGAATGTGTAACATTGAGTAGGTTACACAACCTCTCTGAGCCTCAGTTTCTGCATCTGTTAAATGGGAATAATAATAATAGCCTACCCCACAGTGTATTGTGTGTGTGAATGTATGATGGCACATTGAGAATGCTCAGCAACTACCAACTATTACTGTCTTCACCTTCTAGGTTTTTTCTCAAGTCTTCTAAGTCA